TACTCTAGTAATCGCGAATTAAATTGACAAGCAATTTAATAATTTGATGCTACCATCAAGCATCATATATTATAAAGATGTTAATATATAAAAACTGTTGATAAATTTTTTGCGAAAAATATTACCTACTGAATTATTAAAAAGCAACGAAGATCCAGCTCCGACCGTAATAGGCAGTTAAATTTCTAGTATTAATTGAGTTTCTCAAATATACGGTCAAAAAAATATAAATATTGTTTAACTATATACACAGATCTAAAAATAATTTTATTGATCTATCAAAATTATGTACGGTGTTCAAACTGGTTGAGAATGTTAAAACTTTTTGCAGCATTACTCATCATGCTTGAGACTTCCGTATAATTATTTTGATGGTTGAATAAAATTATTTTCAGATGTGTACTATTTTCCTCTTATCCTTTTCTTTTTTCTTGTTTATTTAAAAATTTTGTAATTATCCTTACACTGTTAGATCTATTCTTTTACGTCTCTTGTTATATTAATGTTTTATTTAGCTTGAGAGGATGCTATCCTAAAGCGCGTGAAGAATAAAGCTGTCTATCTACCTAGCTAAATTTTGTACTTTAGCAATATCGTTCTTGCTTTGGTAGATTTTGAAATGTATGAGTCATTACTTCTAGGATACCTTATTTATTTATGAAAAATCGTCAACGAATGAATTAGAGAAGAAAGTTCCTTGGAGCTCCCTTTGATAAAGCGCTTTCTGACGTAAGCCCTTAGGAACTTTCTTCGCACACTCAACCGCAGTCGATGTTGGAAATCTGGCCGCGTGTTTTACAAACACCCCGTACGTACGTGTCGGCGTGCGATAAATAAATGGCGGTGACGAAAAAGTCGGTGCGCGAGGCACGGAGGTGGACGGGTGGAAACGAACGGGGGTTCCGAAGGAGGCGAGGTCCCGACAACGGCCTAATTTTTCATTTCCATCGCTCCCGCCGCCAGCAGCGGAGTGGCCGGGGGCCGCGGAAGGGGAACGGGGTGGTCGAGAGGGTGGTGGGAGAGAGAAGGGAGAACAGGTTTCCAGGTCGATAGGGTACCCTTATACTGGGCCCTACGAGCCCCGCGTATCTACCTGACGACGCGAGCCCTCTACGCGGAGGGAAAAATGCTGAACAGGTGCTCGTAAAAATCTGACACCTCCGACTTTTCTCGTTCCTTCTTCCTCCTCTCGTTCTCTTCTCCCAATCGGTCAGGCGAATTACGGGGTCGAGACTATCGCGAGCTTCCTACTTGGTGACTCCGATTACGTCGCAATCAGCGGGAATCTTGCCTTTTAACTTCCGCTTTGTTTCACAATCGCGTAGCTCGAGTATTGTTATCCGCACAACAGATAGACGCGGGGAAACTTAAATTCTGATATCGTTAATTGATGTCCGACGATGTTGATGAAACTGCATACGGAATAATTGGAAAGAATCATGTATCGTAGACTTCTTTATTTCGCGAAAAAGAGACGAACAGATTTTACGATTTTTTCCTTCTTTTCCTTCGTTTTCTATAATTAAGGGGATTTATGATTAAAAATCCGAGAACGAGAAGATCGAGGATTCTAAAGA